ACCGGAGTTGCTGGAGCAGATCAAACAAGCTACGAAGAAGGATGAAACATGTCAGATTTTGAAACATTACATCGTCAGCGGATGGCCGAACGAAAAAGCTTCAGTGATTGAGTGTGTGAAACCGTTCTTTGCGTTCCAAGCGGAATTAGTCATCCAAGGAGGTGTGATCCTTAGAGGAAATCGCATAGTGGTGCCTCGTGAAAATCGTCCAGATGTTCTAAAGCTTTTGCACTATAGTCATCAGGGGGAACAGGCGACACTCCGCAAGGCAAGGGACATTGTCTATTGGCCGAACCTGAACGATCATGTGCAGAATATGGTCAAACAGTGCGTCGTCTGTAATAAGTACAAGGACTGCCAGCGGTGTGAGCCCATGCAAAGTTCGGAAATCCCAGAACATCCGTTCCAAATCGTATCTATGGACGTGGGAGAGCTGACACACGAGGGTAGAAAGATGATTGTGTTAGTGTCGGTAGACCATTACTCCAATTACTTTGAGGTGGACTTCCTGAACAATCTAAGAACGACGGAGATGATCGATCGCTGTAAGAAGAACTTTAGTCGGATGGGCATTCCTCGCAAAATCATAACCGATTCAGCTCAACAGTTCGTCAGTCAAGAGTGGAAGCAATTCATGGTGGATTATGGGATTACTAATACGACAAGCGCACCCTACCATCACGAGTCCAATGGGAAGGCCGAATCTGCCATCAAGATTGCGAAGAACATAATCAAGAAGGCGCTGCAAGACAAGAAGGATATTTGGCTAGCTTTATTAGACTGGAGGAACACACCGCAGATCGACGGATACACGCCGTCCCAAAAAGCGATGGGAAGAAAGACAAGGGGTATTCTTCCTGTTGCAGTTAGCCAACTCGAACTACAAACGGTAGATACGCAGAGAGTTCGGGATGGTATTGAGCTCCGTAAGGTGAAGTCGAAATTTTATCACGACCGGAAGGCCCAAGAGTTGCCGAAGTTGGTGAGAGGACAAGATGTGTTCGTTCAGCTTAAGCCCGAGAAAACACCTGAATGGACACGCGGAAAGGTAACAGAAGTGATAAGTGACAGAGACTACCAAGTATCAGCAAATGGTGGAAGCTATCGCCGAAACAGAAAGTACCTTCGTGATGCGCACTCTACAGTACAATCAGAGGAAGCAGCCATACATGGATCTGCTGATCAAAGCGGTGGGACACCAAGCGCTTTTTACAGTATGTCGGAGGACAACTGGAGCCCTGCCACAAGCACTCCTAAACCAGCGGAACGAACTTCAAACGAACTGGAGGATTCATCAACCCCATCACAAATGCAGCAGTCAACAAAGCAGAAACCGTCAGCAGAAAAACTAGAACAGGAATCGCAGAGACCAAAACGGATGGTTCGTCGACCGATCTGGTTTGATGATTATGAGTTGGGAGATCTAGATTAGTGCAAAGAAGGGGGGATGTTACAATGAGTAGAAATTGGCCCTTTATGTTTTTGGGTAAATCTTTAACGCAAATTTGACTTGATTCAAACTCAGTGTGTACTTTGAAGGATATAAGAAAAAAGCAGTTGAGTTTTTGATTGGCATCACAACAGAGCAACACGAGTTTCATTTCATGGGTAACAGATACTCATTAATGGGTAAAATTGTTCAATCATTAATGAGTTAAGCCACTTTTCTTCAAAATGGGTATTTTTTACTCATTAATGGGTACTTTCAAGTAAGCGTGCATGGTTGCTTTGAACGATAGTAGAAGTGTTGCTAGAAACGTTAGATTTGCTCTACAGAGTCGACGTCGTGTTGCGTTGCAAGAAACTCGTATTGGATGCGTTCATGAACGAAAAGAACATTTCAGTGCCAACATTTCAAAGGGGCGTAATTGCTTTTGTAAACAAAGGCTTTAGCCGTCGATTTCTCGCAAATGAAAGCTCACTCCTCCAAATTAACAATGCTAGCTGGAAGAGGAAACATTCATCTACCTGTTGGTGCAATCAATTTTCATGAGTGAGCTTTTATTTGCGAGAAATCAACGGCTAAAGCCATTGTTTACAAATGCAATTACGCCCCTTTGAAATGTTGGCACTGATTTGTTTTGAAGGTGATACTGGTTTGCCGGTCAGTATCATCAGTGCGGAATGCCGGAACCGACTGTTTCCGACTGTGCGGTTGCGTGAATGTGATAAGAACTTGGTTAGCTATTGCAATACCAGCATCGACGTGCTCGGTATCCTCGACGCGTGTGTGGAATTTGCTGGAAAAATAATGACGATGCCGTTGTACGTTGTGAATTCCGGGAAGCATCCGTTACTAGGGTGGTTGAATAAAATGCCAGTGGACTGGAACAACATGCTCCAGGGCTCAAGGACTGTGAATACGATTGCTGCAATTATTTCCCCACGTCGTGATTCTGCATTGGAGGATGTTTTGGGGAAGTACCCGAAGGTTTTCGAGGACTCGATCGGAAAGATTTCCCACGTTCAAGCTAACCTACCTTTGAAGAACAATGTTCGAGCCGTGAAGAGAGCGGTTAAGGATGAATTGGAGAAGCTGGTTGCAGAGGGTGTGCTCACGAAAGTTAACTCCAGTAACTGGGCGACACCGATTGTGCCTGTGAAGAAGTCGCAGAACCGGGTGAGGATTTGCGGAGACTACAAGTAGACCGTGAACCCGAACCTCGTGGTGGACAAGCATCCGCTGCCAACTGTGGATGAGCTGTTTGCTTCGCTAGCGGGAGGCAAGAAGTTTAGCAAGATTGATCTCATCCAAGCATATCTGCAACTGGAGGTATCTCCGGAGGACCGTGAAATACTAACGCTGAGTGCTCACCGCGGTCTTTACCGTCCGGTACGGTGTACGGTGTCACATCGGTACCAGCTATCAGGCAGCGGCAAATGGAGGCCCTACTGCAAGGCATAGATGGAGTAAGCGTTTTCTTAGATTACATCAAGATCACGGGGGAAAACGATGAAATTCATTTGCATCGGCTGGACGAGGTACCACCGACGAACCGACGTGTCAGGTCATACAAGCTACTTTCAAATTCGTGCCCAAGACGCCATATTTAAAATACGACACTACTGACATCTACTCATCCGATCGCGTCATACCATGAGCAAGGACTTTATATTGCATTGGTTTGCGTCTCACCTCGTGTGACAGATCTGATCGCCCGTTTGAAAGTTCGAATCGCTCGTTAGACAATTCGAATTGTGGACAAACGAAATGCTCCTGTGGCAAGTCGGTTCGTCGGTGAAGGTACTTCGGCAACTGAACTAATGCGGTATACGAGTGAATAAGAAGAAGTGTGAGTTCTTCGTGGACAATATCGAATACTGCGGCTACTCCATCGATAAGGAAGGGATTCATAAGATCCGAAAGAAGGTGCAAGCAATACAGGAAATGCCAAGGCTGAAGAATAAGGACGCAGTTCGGTCATTCGTAGGTTTCGTCAATGGATCACTTTGTCAAGCAGTTTTACCGTGACTTTCTACCAGCGATTTCACAAAATTGGACCAACAAATTACTATTTTACTATGAAACGCACTACTTTTGGCTACTTTTCTCGTGTTTCTAGAAGAAAAACCTTCAAAATATTGTGTTATTTTGAAGTTCGAGTGGTAGGAAACGTCATTTTCAACTGTTCGAATTAAATGGTTAATTATTACGGGCAGTTCTTCGAGAACTTGAGTACGGTCCTGTATTCACTTAACAATCTACTGAAGAACGAACTGCCACTGCTGCTTGCTACGGACGCTTTACCCTACGGAGTAGGGGCTGTGCTGAGTCACGTGTACCCAGATGGCACGGAACGTCCAATCCAGTTCACATACCAGACCCTGAACCGTGTGCAGCAGAACTATATGCAGGTGGACAAAGAAGTGTCAGCTATCATATTCGGCATGAAGATGTTTTTCCAGTACTTGTACGGTCGGAAGTTCCGATTGATTACCGACGACCAGGCTATCTCAAAGATCATCGGGGAGCACAAAGGGTTGCCGGTGATGTCAGCGTTGAGGATGCAGCACTACGCTACCTACTTGCAGAGCTTCGACTACGAGATCCGGTTCTGGAAGTCCACGGATCATGCGAATGCGGACGGCATGTCGAGAATTCCGTTAGGAGTAACTGATCCTCAGAACGAAATTGAAGATTCTGATGCTGTGGAGTTGAGTCAAATCGACACTCTATCCTTGACTGCGGTGAGTTAGGTCAAGCTACTGCGGAGGATCAGGAATTACAAAGACATTTTATACGGCAGGGATTCGGGAAGGTGAGGTGGCCAACAGTGTAGGTTTCTTCGAGTTTGTAAACAGGCTGAACTGCAGTGGAAGGAGGATGATCGCTTTCAGGAGACAAGAAAAATGTTTCTCAAGGAATTAAATTGAAAACATTTCATATTCAGCAATGCCACGAAATTTTGAAAGACAAGCCAAAGTTCAAGGAGCTTCAGATTCCCGGGTTTTAATTAGGCAAAATGTATAATGAAACTAAAAGGACTTATACCTTGTCATTCTAATTTGAATTGCATTGATTTATATGTTACAAGTCCTTGTGGAATACATTTGGTACAGGTCCCTGGTTGTCAGAGATTTCAAATTCACTAACCATTAGGTATATCCATTATCCACTTACTTATAGAATACCTCTGAACTTCCTTCGATAGCAAAAAAAATACTGGGTCAAACCAATCCATCCTTTGAAAACAAATGTTCGAATCCGAAATCAAAAACTCTGCTTCACTCAAAAATGGTTGAATGTTTAACTATGAAAAAATACATTACCAGTGCATATACATCGATGTTGTTCTATTTTGGCAGGTTCTATTAAGTTTTCACTATTCCAAATCCAGTTTAAAGTTGGTCTAAAAATAAACCACCGCCGGAGATGCCCTTTAGTTCGATAGTAAACTATGTATTCAAGATATCAATTATATTAGTAAAATATAAACGAAATTATTTTCTTTATTTCAAAATGCAGTTTTACATCTTAATTTTCATTCGGGTTTAGACGAGTTACCTATATAACCTGACCAACTCTACAACTAATCTGCATCATATTTGAAGTACGTTTTCGGATCCATCTCCCGGTGGGTGCAATTTTCCTGCGGAATCTCAAACATGTAGCTCAGATCGATGTCGTACCGGGGCAGCTTCTCCCGCAGAAAATTGACAACATTCTGCGTCATCTCGGCCGATCGGGAAAGCATCAACGCCGAGAGGTACTTTTGCGATTTGGTCTTCTCGGCACAGTGCATGATCAGGGCCCACGATTGGTAGTCGGTGTCGATAATGTAGGTGTTGTAGATTTCTTCGTCTGCAAAAAAAAAACAAAAGGAACGAAAGTTATCGATCACCGTGTATCCAGGGGGTCACTTCGGGTTCTCACAACTCCACTCGGCGTGGATCCAATGGGCCGGTTGGGCGAAGTTCGGAATCACCCAGGTGATGTTGCCCTGTTGGAAGTTTCTCAGCGGATCGTCCGAGAAGAAGTAGGTGAAGTTCATCGTTACCAAGCCGTCCGTTGTGACGAAGGAGCTCTGCATGCACGAGTACTCCGGCAGGGTTTCCGACGAGGCAAAGTACTGGATCACGTACCAGTAGCCCATCATGGCCGGTAGGTCGAAATTGCGCATCGCTCGGACCTGGAGGTGTTTTTAAAACGATTTGTAACTCAATTTCATTGTCTTAGTTTGACATTATTAACACTAAAACATTTGATCCTTCCCGTTCGATTTCTCAAAAACCCCTCCCCGCCACTTCATACTCACCTTGGGACACCTCTCGTTCCGGTTCCTCCTTCTTCCCATCTGCGAGTCGCACTGTCCCACAATCAAAATTAGCATAATTAGCAGCCATCGGAGATCGATTCGCCAACCGACGGCCGCCGCAGCATCAGAATGCCTCCGTCGCCGGTGACATCTACCGCCGCATCCGGTCATCATCGATTTGAATGGTTGTCGTTGTTTGCTGTTAAAGATCTCGTTTGGTAAACTTTAATGATCACATTTCGCCAAAAACAGCCCCGCATGAGATGCGGTGTCCACCGGTGTTCCACACACGACCGCCGATGATAATAAAAGCGAGCGAGAAAGAACGGAGGAAGAGATAAAATAAAGATCCCGCTTGGCGTAGTCCGGAATAGGAATGGGTTTTTTTGAGGTGAGGGGGGGAGTTACTCCCCTGATCGTTATAATTATTTATAATGTGTCAAAACTTTCACCACCGGGGCAGCGAAAGGCAGTGGTGGCCCGCTTGGAATCGAGGGAGACCGGGAAGTAGATTCTACCCTCCGAAAGTCAACGTCACGATGATGCAGCTACATTGTGCAGCATTTCAATGCAATTTAGTTGTAATTAGACAAAGTAAACATAACGCTTAAGCGGGGCTTAGACTAGGAAAGTCAAATGATCAACTCAGTTGAATTCAATTGGCTTGAAAAGTTTAGCCTGGTTCAACTTTTTTCAATTCAAGTGAGTTGATTAAGTCAGATGAATGGCACGGTTTACACATTCAATTCCCGTTCAAGTCAGTTGAATTCAACTGACTTGATCAATTGACTTGCCCTGTCTAAGCCCAGCTTTAGAATAACGAATAACGTTGGTTTTCTTTTCCGCCGATCTTGTTTTTCGTACTGAGTACCAATGCTACCGACGCCAGGGGAGACAGCTCCCACCACTGGACAGCTGGACCGGGAACCAACTTCTTACTTCCCTTCCCGAAGGAAGGCGTGATCAGAGATTTTATGCTTGTCGGTTGAACCCAGGCCGTTTGGAGTGGGCACCGCTCCCTGAAAACTTCGGGATCTCTGTAAAGTTCCCAAAATAGGGGAAATGTCTCTAATGTTGGCCTATGGATCTAAGATTGGGCCCATCGCTAAAAATCTGCTATTTATCAATTTTATTTAGATGAACGCGTTATTGGGACGTTACTAATGGATATTTTTAGTAGCTATTGAAAGTTTAGTCGATTGCTGAATTTATGTACGGGCCCATATAAGGGACACTTAGGCCGACATTACCTGCATTTCCCCTATGTATGAAGTTTATTCATTTTCTCAGGAGCTGTTAGGACGGTCTTAAAATTTCCCTCGAAATTTCCAGAACTCTAAAAGTTTCTCAAAACTAACCTGAAATTTATGGAGTTGTCCAGGATCAATCGATACTAAACCTTAAAGATTTATAAACTTCCTGAAATTTGGTCCTGACGTTATTGGGGCTGCCCAGATTTCTGGACCAAGGTTGTCTGTGGTTCTTGGAATTTCTATAACGTATTTACAGTATTCCTCAAGTTCTGTGGACTTCTCTGAAGTTTTCATGACTTCCCTGAATTTCTTAGAACTTCTCAAAAGTTCCAGCAGTTTTCATCAAGCGGATTGAACTGCCTTGAAGTTCTCGAAGCTTCCCTGAAGTTACCTAAGTTTTATAGAAGCTCTCAGATCTTACCTTATTATCCCGCAGTCTGTTCATTAACCTTTCCCGAATTCCTCGGTATTTGCTTTCATTGCTCGGATCTGCTTTCTAGTTCCAAAAAAAAACGTGTGTACCACTTTGATGGTCTCTAATATTTGCTGAAATTCTTGGAACGTCCTTAAAATTCACGTTATTTTGCTAAGGATGTTTCTGGAATAGCCCTGAAATTAATGGAACTGCCCCGACGGACTTCTGCACTTCCTTAGATTTATCAGAGCTTCTGTGAAGTTTCCGGAATTTTTCTCAAGTTTTTTAAACTTTTTTGATGTTCTCTGGAATATTTTTAAATTTTTGATACTTCTTGATAAATTTCGCTATTTTTCTGCCCTATAACTCTTGAAGTTTATCTGAAGCTCTCAGAACTTCCCTGAAATTCATTGAACTACTATGAAAATTTTATAACTGTCCCAAAATTCACGTCATCTCCCTTAAAATCTTTAAACAGAATTGAAGTTTAGGAAACCTCTGTAAAGTACCTGCAACTTTCCTGAATTAATCGGATTGCTTCTTGAAATCTAATCTTACAACTTCCCCGTAGTTCTGGACGACCTTTAAGTGCTCGGAACTTACTTCTGGGGCGTTTAGAACCTCCCTTAGCTTAGCCAGTAAAGCCGCAGCTGCAAAGCAAAACCATGCTGGAGGTGACTGGGTTCGATTTCCGGTCCGGTCTATGAATTTTTCGGGTTGGAGAATTTCTTGACCTCCCTGGATAGTATGATTGGCATTGAAAGCTCTTAATTAATATCTGTGGAAGTGCATCTAGAACACTAAGTTGAGAGCACGCAATAAGCTAATATGCGATAAGCTATGAGCTTGAAATTCGATGAAGAAGAAAGGACTTCCTGCTTGGAATTTACATGAAATTCACAGAAGTTCTTTAAGGCTCCGTAATTTAAAAAAAGTTTTCCAAATTTTCTTGCAATTCTCGGAACTTCATTAGAGATCCCGAAATTTTCCTGATGCTACTCTCAACTTCCATGAAGTTTTCTGGACATTTTTTGGATCCTCTGGAAAGTTCCTGCCATTTTTTTTAAATCCTCAAATTTTTTTGAAGTTTTAGGATCTTTCCTTACGTTTGACGAGGGGGACGACTCTATCTACGATGCAAAAAAGATTGTGTTTTGCTGTGGCTAGCTGCGCACACGCTGAGTAGATAGAAAAAAGATTGATGACGATTCTGAAGATTTCCTGCAAAAAATTGATGAGCGATGTAAGTAGATGCGACAAATGAAAGAAGATTGTTCAAAGATTGATTCGCTAGTGTGAGATTTGTTAACCATCTAAACTTGAGATTTAGATGTGTAGCCCCCCTCGACGTTTACACATTTTTTCGGATATTCATGAAAGTGCCCTGAAGTTATCAGAGCTTTCTCGATGCTCCCTGACATGTTTCAAGGATTTTACAACTTACGAGAAGTTTGCTTTAATTTCCTGTAAAGTTCTTGAAGTTTTTGGAACTGTCATGAAGTTATGCAATCTTCATCAATTTCTCGAAACTTTTTTGAAGTTTATGGAACTGCCTTGACGTGTTAAGAACTTACCCTTAAAGGTCTTCAAACTGTAGTCCTTGGAACTTCTCTGAAGTTTTTGAAACATCTCTGATTTGTTTTCCGTCGATCTCGTTTTCCGTACTGAGTACCAATGCTACTGACGCCAGGACCATAAAGGTATTTCTAAGACTAGAAGGTCCCGAAGAAACGTGCTCAACTTTTTGGCTCAGCCCTGGTACTATCTTCGGTCCCAAGCTTATCGATGCACCCCTCGAAACATAGGAAAATCCATGAACCCCTCATTTTATCTGTCAAACTTTCATAGCGAATCAAAACAAACATAGTGTAGTACTGGAATTTCGACTAGAATGGGGTACGTTAATCGATTTGCTTGAGACCAATAGGCTGGTCAAGTAGTGGGTCAATTTAAAAAAAGTTAGTTTCCACCGGTTGCCTGGACCCTACCTATCGACCCATCAACTCATGGACCGGGGCCAACGGATTTACTTCCCTTAGTTAGTTTTCTTTATTATCGAGACTTAGGTTGGCTCGTCTCTTACGCCACTGAAGGTTCCGGAAAGGAGCTCCTTTAGTTAAGAAGTTTGGGATGGGTGAGGCTCCAGAAGATGGCCACCCTGCAATCAGAGTTGTTGCTGTCATAATTCATGTGGTGTTGTCGTAGAAATCCATTTGAGAAAGTAATGTAGGTCGAGGATTGTCGGTCATCCAGGTTTGCGTTTAAGTGAGGAGCTTGTGATCAGGTTCAATGGGTCCAATGGGTAAATGTTAAATATATATTCCAGTAGTCTGGCTTCTCTGAGAAAACCAATTAGTGCCGCGGTTCTGGTCGGGTCTTCACTAAGGGTGATGCTTCCAGGTATATCATAAAATTCACGGGAGTGGTATATGATGTGCTCTATCGTGTGTGGGACATGACAGATGTTGCAGATCTTGCGGAAAGGACCGTTACCAGAGAAGTTATGTGGAATGTTGGAATACCGATCTAAAGTCGGTATTTCCATTGGTCCTTTCACCTATGTGTGACCTTCTTGATCTCTCGGATCAAAGTATCAACCGAGCGAAGCCAATCAGCCGGCCAGGAGTCCCAGATCACCTTTGAAACCCAGTGTTTCAAATCCTTCGCTGGGACCTCTCGGGTGTAAATAGGAGCTTGTCTCCCGAATGCCGCCAGGTGATCGGCCTCTATATTCTCGCGGATACCGCAGTGCACAGTGGTCCAGAATGCAGATTTAGGTGGAATGATATGTTTTGAGCCTGAAATTGAAACTTTAGACTAAAAGTCTCTTCTACTACTTGTTCCTTATAGTTAGGCCCTCATTTTTATGACAATGAATTCTAGGGTGGTTCCTATTATCATTAAAATCAAAAATCTAACTTTTTTGTTTGAATAAATTAAGGTATACAGTCTTGGGCAAAGTTATAGCTGAGCAAATTTCAAGAAACTTTGTTGAAAATAACTTTTTTGTATCTCTTAAATTGGCCGATTTAGAGCTATTTTCTTGAATTGAGTTAGGGTGGCTCTTGAAAAAACAGTTTTTTTGTTCTAGTTTTCTTATTTCAAATTTCTCAGCAAAGGTGTCTTGAGATAACTTTTAGATCTTAAGAAGGCGCAAGTTTTTGCCACACAAAGCTTGTCAATATCTTTCGCCGATCAAGAGTTATTGACGTTTTTATACTAAAAATATGCACTTTTCAAATGTTAATATCTCTGGTTGGGGCAAACAAAAAAAAGTTTTTTTACGGCATTTGAAAGGGCGTATGTAATTCTCAATATTATGACAAAATTGGAGGTATCTTATTTTTTAAACTCGTATAAAATCAATTTGAATTTAGTCATATTTTTTACTATATTTGGGTATATATTTTTTTTTAGAAGACATACAGGCAACAAATTCAGGTATAAAACATTCGTCTAAAAGAGTTTTAAAATTCTCTACAAGATAACTTTCATGAGAAATTTTAAATAAAAAAGTTATTACTAAAAAAA